CATCCGGTTGGCCTCGATCCGATTCGTTTACTTTCGTCTTTGTTTTCTAAAGCAAAAAATAGACTAAAACTTCCTATTAAATTTTCTACCAAAGCGAGCAAATTGCTTACCGTGTTCCAACAATCTTCAAGGTTTTCGTCAATGAGCTTGCTGGTTGTCCAATAGTTGGCCGTTCGAGAATCCGTTTCGGTTGGGAGAGCGCATCTAAAAAAAGCAATGTTGGTTGAAATCTATAAAAACTTCTATATTCTGATTAAAGTGCTTCAACCCCAAACAATTAGCCGACCTATATGGCGTGTTGTGGGCGGCAAAGGTCCAGCTGAAGGCGTGTAAGGCACAGAGCATTGTCGGGATTGTCACCAGCAGAAACTGCACTTTCTGGTACCTAAACAAAAAATGTATTGGAGTTTAATTCTTTATATTGATAGTTCTCTGAATTGGTAATATTCACAAAATTTGTATTAACATGGCTAAAAGCAAAAATGGCAAGTTTTCAAATTGAATATTAATTGAAGCTTGAAAGCTTTCAGATTACGCTGAATCAATGAAACTCTTAAAACAATAAAGAGTCAAACATTTTCAAAACTTTTAGTCTAACTATAAAAAGTTTAAAAAACATACCTGCCCATTTCGCCAAGATGGCTGAAGAGGAACTCGTCGAACTTCATCTTTTCCGACGACGCGTTTGTCGGTGTTGTTTCCTTCGTTGAGCTACTGCTTGACGATGCACATTAATCGGAGTTGGATTTACTGAAAAAACACAAACATCAATTAGAAAATGGAAAGAAAAGAAAGAACATAAAAAAGCCAGAGTTTTCCCATCCCTAGTAACCGGTAATTAGCGATGGTAGAAAAGAATCTATTTCAAGTGTTGCAACGATTTATCTCATTTAAATACGACTTGTTTTCATTGTTCATTATTGGCAACTGGCCAGTAATTTGTGGTATATCGCTTTGTTGATTGAAAAGAAAGAGGAGATTTTACAATGCGACCCCGAGCGATACACAAGAGATATCAAGGAATCGGCGCAAATAAAGCTGTCAGTGCTGATTTCAACGTAATTTTGTAAAATTTCAACAAGAATTCAATAGCTTCTTAAATTCTTCAAATTAGTGCTGGTTCCGGATTAAAAATTTATAGAATTTCCTGAGTATTGCGCTGTTTAGGCCAAAAGGGTTTGGAGAAAATTGCCTTAATTTCCTTTGGCAAAGAGGGTAAAGGAGTAGCAAAGCTCGTAAAATTTTCTTAGATTAGAAAAAAAATATCTCACCTAACCATTTTTACCCAAGTATACAGTAAAAACTCTAATAGAATGGCCGGCCGTTCTATTTTTCAACCCTCAAAATCGGTCGGCCAAAAAAGTAAGTAAGGGTCCCCTACATGAATCAAAAATTTATTTTTCCTTGAAAACCGTTTTAAACGATAGTCCTTGGCTTAAAACGTATGCAGAACATGTTTTAGAGTGAAAATATTTTCTTACCCGGAGCCTCTAGAAATTTTCCTGAAAAAATCCCTGTGATTTTTTTCTTATTTTTTAAAAAACTGTCCAACCAATTTTATTGCTGATGATAGTTTTGGAATATTTATGCCCAATTCTATCCATTCCCGTCAAAAAAATGTCCCAAAGTCGATATTTCGAGGGGTCAGAGGTTTTTAGTTTTTACGATAGTATAAATTTTGAGTGTCCCCTCTCTGAATTTTCAGTTTTTAGTCCATTTCTCAAAAACTAGTGGATGGTTCTGGAAGTTCAAAATACCATTCAATAGCAATTTTTTTTGCAAAATTTGCGCATTTAATTCTAGTTTTACCCTTATACGTTTTCAATAAATATTCCAGAATATTCAACTGTCATCTGTTTTGAGAAAGGGACTAAAAACTAAAAATTCACAATGGACACTCGAAATGTATAAAGTACAGCAAAGGAGAATGGTTAAAAAAGGCAAAATTTACTACAACTACAGCCGGGTTTTTATATGCAAATTATAAGTCCACAGTTTAGAAAAGAGCACCAATATGCAAATTGATTTTGAAAGTCGGTAGGCTTAAAATTTTCTGCCAAAAGTCGACAGACTGGGGTTAGGCGCGGAAAAAGTAAACGAGCATGGGCAAATGGATGGGATAACGGGGAGATGAGTGAAGTGCCTTGTATGCCCACCTGTCGCTCAATCCCCTCATCCCTAACCCTGTCTCCTTTCCACCCGATTACAATAGCCTTTCCGGGCTTCTCTTTCAAAACTCAACTCTATAAAAAGCCTCAAAATTCACTCTAAAAGCATCAAAAATTTGATCTGACAGTCGGAAGGGTTGGCCGACAATTTGGAATTCAAAATAAAATCACTGCTATGTGAAATTTGTACATTGCTCGAAGAGGAATGTTGAAAAATTATTAAACAAAATACGAATTTTGAATCATGGTATAACAAAAGTGTTTTAGAATGGTGAATCAATTGTTCCATTTTTCTGAGGAATTGCCTCGCTTCCAAGAAAAGGAGAATTTTTAGTCTGGAAGCTGGAAAAAGGGGAAGTATATCGCCGTATCCTTTAATCAGATAACCCACAAAGAACTACACACCACCTCGTCGCAAGGACAACAAAAAAAATCAAAAGGCTAAATCAAAACAAAAAATATGTGACGAGTGGGAGTTAAAATCTAGAAGGGAAAAGGGAACGTTTTCCTCAAAATCCCCTGAAATCTTTAAAAAGCCGTAAAACCCAGAGAAAGGGAAAAACGTACGCGGCCCATAGGATTGATCCAAAGAAAGACACGAGGGACTCCTCCCTCCAAGTGACTTCTCTTTTGGGATGGGGAGATTCCCCGCAAAACGATTCAGAAAACAAGGAAAGGGGGAAACCTTATAGTTAGAAAGACAGAGTCCTCTGTGTTGCGGAATGCAACCCAAAATATCCAGTCTGCCTGTCGACAACATTGCTAATTCATTAAAGGTCGCGGAGAGAAAAATTGTCTTTAATTTAAGCAGCTAAATATTTCAAAACTTTCATTGGACAAAATCAAAGCTACAGTACCCACCAAGTACAATAGGCATTCAGTTTATGCAAATTACACTTGAAGTCAGCTTTATATCCAGCTTTATAGCTTTTTATGATCGATCGAAAACTCGTTTTTAAAAAGTTTTTAGGATGCTTCTATCTAAACATCCTGGAATGATTCTCAAAAGAGAGGGATGACTTAAAAGAAGAGTGCGGTCATAAAAATGGCACACTCTCAGTAAATAAAGACACAATTTTTGATCAAGAGCGAAACTAAACAAAAACGCAATCCAGACTTTCGTCGCCACAAACCACTGCTTACCGCACAAGTTACCCCGGTTTCAGTGTTGCCAAAATTGAACAAAAACGAACATTGAACTTAGCAAGTTCTCGTAAGAAAACAGCAGCAAGTAGTCGAAGGAGAGCGCCGCGAGTGAGAAGGGCAAATTCGAGGAGCGTGGGAGCATTTCGGGTTTCGAAAGACGAAGGCATTCCCCCCTTGGAAACATCCATTGTTCTCCCAGAGATCCACCCCTTACCCTTCTCACTCTTTCTACAAACAAAAATCTAATATTCCGTTGAACCCGAATCCAGCTGCCAACACATGTTCAAGTACTAACAAACTCCAGAATACATGATGAGCATATAAATAAATCTTTGATCTTCGTGGCGCATCCCTAACGTAGAAGCAAACGAACTCCAATAAATAATTTATTAGAAGATTACGCCCAGAAACAACTTTAAAGCAGTGACAAACGTATGCTCAGCCGAAAAATTCTACTCTTACACAAATCATGTGCTAACAAATGAAAATTTTCCATCAAAATGAACATAATACCTTAACAGATTGAAAACGGAGATAAATAGCATGAAAAAATGAAACCTTAAAATAAATAAAGTTTGAGGTAAAAACAATAAAATTCCAAAAAGTTTATGGGTGAAAAGAGTTTTGGGATGTTTATCAAAAGGATACAATCTGTAAAAATAATGTAACAAAAGAGAGTGGCAAATAAATAAAAGGGAGTTGGAAAAAATTACATCTATAACAACGAGTGAATCACGTAAATATGACCATTTAGCTGAAATGGAAAAATCTTACAATAATAACTCGAATTATTCAGCGGTCCCGTCAACTTTCTCCGTTGGAACCTGAAAAAAAAAAAGAGTATAAAATAGTAGAGTTAAAAGTTACTTTTCCAAAACCGTCCATTGATCTCGCTGAGAGTGTCTCGAAATTTCGTCAACGAATTCAATGGAGACTGGTGATTGAGGTGCGGGAAGCCGGAAGCCTGCTTCACCTAAATTATTATGATTATTATTGCTCATGATCAAGTTATGAGAATTTTTACACAACTATTCTTTAGACCAGTAGCAGAACCTCCACATGTTCTTGAAATTCATACTATTTTGCAATAATAAATCAAGTGCGCCCACCTCTGAGATCCTCAAAAGCTACCACGGTCATTACTTCCACTGTCAAAGTAGAACATCTTGCCGCCTTCACCGCGAAACTAAAAAAATAATGAATCAAGGCATAAACAAAACAATTAGGTAACCTGTTTAGCCTCTGGAAGATTTGCTGGTGAAATATGTTCATCCAAATATCCTCGGAATATTTCTCGATGAGTTCCCGTAAAGTCGCGAGAAGTTCACCGATACCCTCTCCCGGAATCACCACCTGAACTTTCTGCTTTTTGTTGGGGTGGAAATTTTATTGCACTTATAAACAAACCTGGCTTCGAGACATGCGAGCGTTGTAAGAGGTCGCCGCGTTCTAAACCTTTTCATATAAGACATTAACAGTTAAGTGTATACGGTTTGAGCAATTCGCAAGAAACGTCCCCGAGAGTTCTGCTTGAGATCCAAATAATAGCGCCTGGTTTCATAATTCAACGTCTCCGACTTCAGTTCAACGTCTTTCTAAACAAAAGTTCATTAAAGTTAAATATATCGTTAATTCACCTCGGCTTCTTTATCTGGTGTCTCATCGGAAAACGCTTTGAGGATCTCAATCTTCTCGGCCAAGGGAAACCGCTGCCGACATAGTGAGAATGATGCGCGATTTGTGATTGTTTCCCATCTAAATTTCCCACAAGAATTCCTCAAGCTTCTACTACTTATAGCTAACGCAATTTCTGTTTCGACAGCATCAAACAAAAAAATACCTCAGCTATCTTGATGAAACGTCCTCGCTTGTTCTGCTTGGCATCCACGTAGAAGCGTTTGTATTGAATGTTGAGAACCTTACCCTCAAGATCGTCTTCGTTTGGCTGCCCACCTTGCGCCACTCGCCGTTCACCAGGTTGTTCCCTATCTTCACTGCTATGAGACATCTAAAATCAGTGTGATTGAAAGAAAAGTTAATTAGGCAACACTGGGATCATCATAACCAAATCAAATTAATGTCTATTTGTTCACAACACCTTTCACTAAAACCAATAATTCCATTGATTGAAAATTAAAAATATATTGTTACAAAGATACCTTTTATTCTACTGCACAAAACGTTAGCACTCATTGATAAAAGTTATAGGTCTCTAACCCCAATCATCAATATCGAAACTCATTAGTCTGCAAAACATTTATTTTCAGCAAAAACAACGTTACACTAACAAGAAACCCGTACAAAATCAGCAAGAAATAAGAGATCAAAAAAGACGTAAAGAAGTGAAAGTGCCATAAGAAATACTTGTAAGACAAAAGAAAAACAAATATGAACCAAAAACAATTCTAAATTCTAAATCAATTCGATTGTAAACCAGCAAAACAATATTCAAATAAATAATCTCAAAAGTGCAAAAATGTTCCGATCAACTTCCAACCTCCAGTTTCCTTCCTAAAAAATTACTCTTTATCAAAATCTTGTGACAAAGCCTACCTGTACTGATATCAAAAATTTCAGTCGTTCTTCAGCTAATTCCTTTGAGATTGCCAATTCTTGTGAAGCGTACATCGTAATATTCTCGAGAGCATCTTCCATCTGAATTAATTTGTTATTTGTGAAGAATCTTACTGAAGACAATGGAGGCAGAAAAACCTCACCTCATTATAAGAATTCCCAAATATGTGTCATCTTCAATAGACCAACTCAGTGGTTGTTTGGTTGCCCGTTTCTTCACATTTTTACTTTGTTCTTCCTTTTTGTCGTAACTCGGTTGAGCATTCACGTATTGCCCCGTTGAAGTATAGACTGTAGCCTACCGACTGACGTCACGCAGCAGGACGTGCCCTAAATTTAATTTAATAAGAGGAGTGACCAAGAAATACTAAACAGTATTTACCTTTGTTTTAAATAGCTTATTTGGTAGTATTGCGGATAAATCTTCAATAACTTCGAAATTTTGTGATTGAGACGACGATATATTGCCCTGGCTTGTCGATGCAGTTAAATCAAGAAACTCAAGTGTTTGTGCTTCAATGCTTGCACAAATCAAAATAAATTGAAATAAACAAAGTAGTGTTTTACGAATGATCAGTGATAAATCATGGGCACTTGCGTTGGAGTTGTTTTCAAAAGCGCTGGTTGATTCGAAAACACAGTCTCCAATCGATTCTACAACTCTTTCTCGTCTCGGTTGCCTCGGCACCTAAACTGTAACTTAAAAATTAAACAGCTTTGAACATACAAATTTCTAGAAGTTGCTTCAAAACCTGTTGTGATTAAACCGCCATTTTTCCGGGTGGGAGAAGTACCTTCAAAGTGGGGTTCATTAACCAGAAAATTCCCTGACAAACTACCTCAATTGTTAGCTTAAAAGCTCAAACGCATTCTCGTGGCTGCATCGAAGAGGTGTCGCAAATAATCGCTGGGGATTATTACCCGGTAGAAGGAATGACAACAAACGGAGTACATGTTCGTGTAATGGTAGAAGAACTGTCACCATCTTTTGCCACATCTAAAGTCGAAGTAAACACTTTGAGCAACATAATCAATACTTCGATTGAAGGTGCAGAGTCGAGAATCAAAGCAGCTAAATCGATTTCGAATATCATCGTGAAGGGAAGACGAAGATCAATATCTGCTTTGATTTTACTAAAATAACTAGGTAATCTAAAAACCGTTCCAAAGAATACCAAATTAAAAAGTGGCCTCCTTGGATGTTGATTGGTCGCTTGCTGGTATCTCCATCGTCTCCACGATTTCGCTGAGCACGTGCCGTCTTTCGTTTTCATCAAGGAAACAATCAGGCGATCTTCACTTTCTTCTATATTTTCCACGTCTAAAGAAACACTTTTTTTGTGTGTTTTCAAATAAGACAAAATTTTACCGTTGAAATTGTGCGAGTTATCGGGACAAAGCATCGATGTCGATAGTGCTTTTGACTAAATTCAGAAATTAGCAAAGACATTTTGATAATTTAAGGATAATCGTATTGCTGTTAAGCACCTAATTATCTAATATTAAGTTAGTCCTCCAATCTCTAAAGTGCCAAAATTCGTAGAAACTAAAAAAATTGTTTTTATCACCTTATTTTGTTGGGTTTCTTTTGTAAGGTAAACAAGGTGCGTCCAGGGTTTCCGATTAAAGCCGGGACTGCTTGATTGGACCTCATTGAGACGACCACATCCTCGAACAATCTTCGCGTCTAAAAAAAGTACATAAATAAAAAGCTCATTAAACAAATACACCTTGGCGTAGTGGAATATCACGTAGAGGTGACATGCTTCTCAGGAAATTCACCATCGGGAGTCGCGCGCAAAAGTCGAGCTCAGGTGACAAAGAATGTATCGGTGTTGTCAGGATAGGCGACTCCATTCTTGGTTTGCTCTCAAAAGAATCAATTTCATTACACGACTAGCTACAATTATAGCATATTTACCAGCAAACACCTGCTAATTTTGCTAAGAAGTTAAAATAAAAGCGTCTAGAAAAGATACTACGGTAGAAAGGCAACAAATAGAAGTATTCCATAAAATCTATGCACATTCAATGAGCCAAAGTTGTTAAAGACTCTCAAGAGTTGTCATCACAAAAAACAAATACAGTCGAACTTCTCTATAACGACCTTCTACAAAGCGATTTTGAAATTCTAAAAGATGCCCCTAATTTCTGCGTAGCTGCCCAATTAGGGGCAATCGATCTCCGCACAGAGCAGCTACGCATAGAAAATGTGGGGCGCGTGTTAGGATCGTTATATAGAAATTTTCGGTCCCTTCGATATCGTTATAAAGAAGTTCGACTATAATGATAAAGGAACTTTGAGCCAAAATGGTTTCAAAGCACTCGGCCAGGAATCCATCGGTCCAACAATTCGTAACGGTTGCCAAAATTCCAATCCTAACTCCCGTGTGCCATTGTTAGCTTGCTAAATTTAAAGCTAGAATTGCTTTCAAAATATTATTACCATTATCATTTGACTCAATGGATCGGTGATTTATCTTTTACACTTTCGTCGCAAATGATATTCAATCTGTTGTGGGTTTTTGGTGGGCAGCAAATGCTTTGAGATTAGTACTGATCTAAAAGTAAATTTTAAAAATACAAAAATAACTATACACTTTTTCTGCCCCGGTTTGATGCCCGAGCTCTGTGGCACCTCGATGTGTCCAAGGTGAATAAGCCCTCGGCTGAGCAGCAAATTCTCTGAATGAGTGAAAGAAAGAGTAAGATGTAGACGTCAGATTGCATTCATCGCACACTATAGAGAGGATAATCAAAATAAGTATTTTAAAATTACTTCAGGTACTAGTTCTGGGTAAAAATCCTTTACAAGTTCTCAAAAGCTCCCATACTTCGGGACGAGGCAAAGACCTAAACACCGAAGGTACACACAACTAAAGTTGTAAAGCAGACGGGCATGTGTTGGCATCTCGGGTGTGGGCCTCAAAAATATGTGCATGTTTGGATCCCAATTATTTATCTAAACTAACGACTTTCACTAATAAGCAATAAAGTTCGTCAACCTTTGTTGTATTGGTGGCTTCATGGCATGTGGAAATAGCGGCTGGCATATTTTTAATGTTAAACATACCATTTGGATTGTGCTCATAGAACAAGATATCCAATTCGTTCTAAAACTAATTAATAATTAGGGAATTAAAATTATTGAACTCACAATCATAGCTAGGAAGCGACCTCGAAAACCCCGCCAATGTGTCATCAAAATTACAAGCAACAACCATTTGCGTCAGAAGTTGTAATGTGCTAAATGCACATATGGTTACATAAACAAAAAGTTTGATGCCTCTAGAGGTAAGTACTTATAAATCAGAATAACAAGAACTATCTACTTGTTCAAGTTGAGTCTTCAGCTGTGCGTTACTTTCGCAGTCCCCAAAACTTTTTGGGTCCGTTGCCTAACAAACGTGCCGGAGTTGCTATCATCAACGAATCACCAAGTCCGGTTCCTAAAAAAGGCCAACTAATTAAAGAGAGTAAAACCACCTTCCCAACGATTATTTCCAGTTGATTGCCTAGGTTTGCTCTTGGTGCGTCGTTGCCTTTTTGAGTTAATCTAAAAAAATTTTTTTGGAATGTTATCAAAGCCACAAAACCCGGATTAATTAGCTCTTCGGTCGGCGCCAATCCTGTCAAGAAAGTTCCGTTTCCTCCACAGTCAGATCAGTCAGAAGCGCCGCGTTGTTTCACGTTCTAAAGAATCGATCGTTGTGCAAAGAGAGCGGCTATCGATACTAGTTATTTCGGTCCGCCACGATCTTCGTCGAATCTCTTCCGGCTCTTTTCAACTTCCTCAAATTCACGGCGGCCGGCACGAATTCTTCGTCTTCCTCTTCGTCATCCCGGGTAAGGTACTAAAGAAAATAAAATTATAAATCTCTTACTATTGTTAAAGATACTGACTTGCCGCCGTGTTGATCGATTGACAGAAACCAAGATATTCCGGATCCACATTAGAGCAAAACCTAATTTACCAAATACTACATATTGGCTCACAAGTTTTCTCACTTCCTGATTAGAGCAAGCAAAAAGTTCCCGTTTCTCTTCTTCCAAAGCGCCATCACTTCGTAGCTGTCAGATTTGAGATTTGCTTTTTGATCTCGTGCTGTACTTCCAAGGTACCCGCTCGCTCGATTTCTTCATTCAACATGTCGTCTAACTAAAGTACAGCTTTGTTGTGAAAGTAAACGGTTTGCGCTTTTTACAAAATTTTGAACTATTATCAAAAAACATATCAAACTAGATCCGTATTTATGAATTGCAACTTCTTGCGATTTAGCTGCATATCAGAATTGCTGTCATATGGTTCAACAATTGCGATTGGATCCGGTTGTCTCGAGGTGGAAGCTTCGACAACCAGCGGATAAAATGGTTCTTTTAAAGTTCCAACTCTCGTTCTAGCTCTAATTCCAAGCCGTTTCACTGCCAGAAGTAGACGACGTTTCTGGTTCGGAGCTTGATCTCATCGGCTACGTCAACTTCACCAAGCGTGGGGTCGCTTTCTTGGTTCGTAGTCTCCATCAAAGGCATCTTCTTCCCTCATAGTTGACGTTTAGAAAAAGTCCGTTACGCTCGCGAAATTTGAGTGCAAGATTCGTCCGCCTAAAATTTAAGTGTGGATTTTGAAAGACATTTGAGTCAGCCTATAAATTTGATCGAATTTATAAAACATATGCACATGCTAACCTTATCATTTTCATCTATTCATACAGCAAACATAGATACCTTCAATCGACTGGGTCCAGCCTTGGAGCGCGTGATTTTGAGAGGGAATCCCTTGGGTATCATGTGACAAGACTTTGGTGATGATTTCCGGGGTGTAAAAGCACTAAAAATTGAATTTAATAAAGTTGGTGCACATACCACAAACCTTTAGCACCGATTTTTATGTTTGTCGCGCTCATGTTATATTTTTCTCCCAAGCTCTCAATGTTGTTACAAACATCATCCAATCCGCTTTCATCAAAATTGATTCGGTGTTTCGAAGTTTTATCTAGGTATCTGAAGTTCAAACATCTAAAACACAAAAGCGTTAAAATTACCTTCTGGCGCGTCATCCGCACTTGCATTCATAGGACTAAAGATGTTTTGTGCACCCTCATATTTTCAATTCATAAGCATAGTATTGGTTGTATTTCATACAAGGGATAGAGCAAAGACGATATATGAAACTCTTTATCAATTTCTGCAAAACTAAACAAAAAGGAATAAACGATAAAACTAAATTCAAACAATAGCAACAACTAAATTCTAAAGACTGCTAGGGTTTTATACAGAGACTAGTTCTTATCAATAATCATTTATCCAAACGGGAGTTCCGAATATTCATTTCACTTAACTTCGGTGTATGTGCCTAAAGTGTAAATGAAGACAACCAGTGATGAAAAAACTCACATTCAAAAGTTCAACAAGCCTTTGCGCCATCGCGTTGTTAAATGTGCTCAAACAGGCGAGTCCAAGTACGTTTCGTTCTTTTTTGTTCATGGATCGTTCCGACGGAATGTGCGCGACTCCGTCCATTCTTGAAACCAGTTAGCGTAATCATCATTTTCTTCCTAAATAAAAAAAAAGCCATTATGACTGCAAAATTTTATTGGATATCACTTTTAAAATAGCTCACTTTGGGTTGGAAGTCTTGTAGAGCGCCATCAGGTAAGCACTTTATCGCTATACATATTTTACGGAAGTTTATCCTTCACGTACGAAAGAAAAGGTCCGTCAATAAATATCTAAAATTTGGTTCATTCAAGATATTGAAACAAAAACACTCACATCAGTCATTGGGTCAAGGCGAGAAATGAGATCCTTCTGCAGAATGGATTGTGAATGAGCTTATCCATTCATTATTTACGCTATTGTGACTTACTTGGAGACTAAATGAAACAAAACATCTACGTTGGGACATTTTTTCTGACTGCACAATGTTGCAAACGCTAATTTACGTTCTAACTACTTTCCAAAGATGCAACTTAGACCCAGGATCCGGCTAATTGTCCGGAAGTAGCAGGCCAGCCAAGTCTGCTTGAGAGCTAACGGCCCCCTTCTCTAATAAGCGACGATCCAAGTATCTAAAGTTGAAGGAAACGTGATGTTTCTTGAAAAAACAAAATTTTCCACTGGAAAAAAACTCACTTATTTGAATGACGCAACTTTGGCATCCAATAAAGCATTCGTATCACTTTTCTTGTTGCAAAATCCACTCTCAAGCTTACTACGACAATATCGTGTGTCCTCTTTGTGAGGTTGGACACCACAAGAATATTAAAATTTCCTCCTTTTTATTACTTCGCTTGCTTCTACTCCCATTGTTGTAAGATTCGTTTGAAATTATTTCTTAGTTTGAGTAGAATATAATTATTTATTCTGTAAATAAACTTCTGTACAAACATACAAACTTAATACCATGCCATTCCATTTCGTCTAACACTCTTCACACTGAGCTCTTTTAAAGAGGATAATGAAGAAAATTTTCTAAATAATATTGAAGCTGAAGACAAAAAAGCCACATTCAACCTGCCATTGGTTCTGCGGAATCAGTTTTCCTTTGGAAAATGTTTAACAGTGCCTTGTATGCCTCGAGATCTTTATGTACACCAAAGTCTTTCATGTATTTGAGGGCAGAGTGCAAAAAATCGACATAGCTCCGGGGTTGGCGCTCTTTGAAAATAACTAAATCGAATTCCTTTATTTGTTATGAATTGGTTGGAACATACTGAGAGCGCATAGTAGGCCTCTTTGTTTCGTTCCGACGGTGGGACTGATTCGAACTGTTTTTCAACGTGAACGGAATCCCTGTGTTGGGCAGAGCTGGCTTCTGTTGAAAGTACTTGAAGTGGCGCGTAAATACCCGCATTATGGAACGCATTTTCAATCAATTATAGTAACTTCTTTCACTAATTAAAATAAAAGAACTTTCACTCGAGTCGAGCTCAAAGATTTCAAGACGCACTTTAAATTTTGCCTAGCTTTAGCTTGCAGGATTACGGTTTAAGATCGAAGATCCACACTTTCCCAAAGGAAGAAAACTAGGGGAGCTGGTCAAACAGCGCCGGCCAAAATAATGCGTTTGCGGTTAAGTTTATTTGTGTTTCTTATTTTCATTGGATGCAAAAAATTAGCTATCTGCTGAATTTTTGGAGCCTTTTTAGAACAAATCTGTGACAAAATGCCAAAAAGAAAAGAGCAAATAGAGGTCAACTGCGCTTTTCTCGACACCAATTCTGTTCTAAGTGATCCCAAAGTATGCAAAGGTCGATAATTTTATTTGGCATCCAATAAGAGTAAGAAACATAGAAACTTAACCGCGGAAGAGCTGTTTCTAGCGTGGCGCTGTTTTAGGCTGTTCCCAAAACTAGAACTATGTTGAATGACTAACGTAATCACTTGTCAGTAATCTTAGAGTTCACCAAGATACAATTCCCATTTAAATCTTCTTCAATAGTTTTAGCAGTAACTTATTCTACACTCCCACTTGAATTTTAGCCAATAAAAATTTATTCAAAAAATACTAAGGCTGTTTAACAAAAATGGAAGAGAGTTGAAAACACCAAAAACAAATAACATACAAGTAAACGAGAAATTAAAAATTGCCTTTTTCCCTTTTATCGCGTTGACACGCAGGTTCGAAAACCTGGTAGATTTATATACAATTTGTTCTTGACGTCCTCATCCAAGAAAATTAGTGTGGCTGGATTCGACTCCGGCAGCGGCTTCATTCTTCCTGAAATCTAAACAAAGTGAACAGCTAATATGGACAAGTACTTACAAATGTTGAACCACCTCATACGGCGTCCACGTTCAGCGCGTAGCGATTGGCAACATAGAGTGGCGTTGGGTAGAGAAGTCGGAAGAGCCTCAATTTGATGCATGTAGCACAAGCCGTAGGTGAACTCCTCGATGTCATCCATTGACCATTTGCAATCATCACAAAGAATTGTGTACAGTGGAGTCAAGGCGCTACCCTAAATATCAAGTTAATTGAATAGTTTTAACCTTTAACATGCCTGAAGAGCGATGTGAGAGTTCAAGTAGAATTGCTTGAACTTAGGGCTTGTGAGAATCGTGTCGACAACACATCCCAGGATCAATGTTCTGCTTGTTGGCTCGGTCACTTGGGTTGATTTCGGCGCGGAAGAGACGGGTGCAATGATCCTTTGTGACGATGATGCAGGTGAGGGCAATTTTATTGCCTGGAGTCGGCTGAGCATTTTGACAAGACTTCTTGAATGGCCGGAATTTCATTCTTGGATCATCTGAATGCAATCAACAGAAACGACAATATACGCACAAATCAAAACCTTGTCGTATGCCGTTTCAGGAACTCCTCCTCGGTACAAGACAACACGTTTAGGCAGGGAAGTGGGACGCTTGCGAGCTGCATTTCCGACGCCGCACATTTTCATCCAGTCGTCACGATTTTACGCGTCACCACCAGACCACCAATCAACTAAAACGATACAATAACAAAGACGTTACGATTTCCAAAACCTGGTCCGATGCCAATTTTGGGTCCATTCGTTCGAAATCGCCGTAAAAGCCGCCCACGTCCGCAGAAATATTTGCGGCGTATCCAACAACAGTCGGCATCGGCTGTTCTCCCTCAAGTCGGACTCCTGGAGGCGCGGTAATTGTTGCCCCCAATCCAATCACCAACGTTTCGCCTTTCTGGAGAAGAGTGTTGCCATTGCTAAAATTTGAGTCTACTTAAATCTTAAATAAGGAGGCCAACATTTTGATTGAATAGTTGATGCCACCAAGCTTGACGTTCATCTTGTTGCATACCCTCTTCACCGTAGCTGGCTTGTCACCTTCTCGAGCACTTCACGTGCTGTTCGCAGTTTGATGTTTTGGGTAACGTGATTTGATACTTGCGCTCAAAGCTCTTGATCTCATCTAAATCTTTTATAAAAATAAACCAAAAACACAATACAAACCTTGAATTGTTAAGCTGTTTTCGGTGACCATATTTGCGAAGTCGACCTTACCGCGGTGCCATCGTCTGGAACATTTCTTCAAGTCTTTCAAAGTTCACCACCTAAAAGTAATGTAAGTTTTGCAGCCAACAACGCTATCTACTAATCCTCGCATGCAACCGGAGCTTCCAGTTGAACACCGCGTCTTATTGCTTCGTTGTGGAGTCAAACTGGCCAGTGGTTTATAGTGCTTGATATATCTTGGGGTTGTCGGACAATGAGAAGAAAAGCCCAAACATCACATTTTCCGGGTATCAGATATTGTGCTCCTCGCTCGATCTTCCAAGTGACTAAATTTGCATAACTTGCAGATAAGGACTGAATAAACTTCTACATCGCTCCATGTCGATATTAGCTGTATGTCCATTGTTCTAGCGAATGACAGGTATGGTGCGAGTTGGCGACCATTCACTTTCATCGGGTTTGTGACCACGCGGAAAACCGCCATGCTTGGTTTCGAAGATCTCGTTTATCTCGGCATTGTTCATAATGAGTGTTTGTTTGATACTTGGTAAGTACGGCACATTCCTTAAAAAACAAAACTATTCTTCTCAATGATTTTGCAATACTTTTGTCGTCTCTTTCATTTGGTCAGCAGTTTGTTGTGCAAAGCCGACACGTTGGTCAGGAGCTACTGTACAGACTTCCATTGGGAAGAACGTTTCCTTCTTTGCCTGGACACAGATCAATGGAGCTAATGGTGCTCTAAAAAAATAAACGTGTTACTGTAAAAAAAATGAAAAAAATTGTATCAATTGTTGAGAAAAAGGAAACGTACTGCAAGCATAGATTATACTTCTCCTGATAGTAGGGGTCGCGAACGGAGATCTTCTTGTCGGGCAGGGTAATCACATGTGACGAATCGAAGGCAACTTTGATGATCTTGTGTTTTTTCTTGGACCTTCCGTGAGTGGTTGTTACCATAAGACCTGCGGACAAGAAACAAGTTAGGAAACAAAAATGATTCCCCACCTCTTAGAACAATGTTGAGGCGTTCAATCTGGACAGAGTTGGCATGAGCGCTGGAAATTGAATCCGGTTCATGTTGACGGCTTTTTCTGGCATTGGAATCGGCTTGTGGAAGGCGGCTTTTTTGCATCGATTGCTGTTCACGGGGATGTTGGCGCGATCCCGTCCTTTCGGTCCTCAACGAGTCGTACAGAATATTTGGCACCAACTTTCAGCTCCTTTCCATCAGGCAACTAAATACAAAGATAACTTGCTTGAGATAAGTTAAAAACAAGCTTCCTCTTTCGTCTCCATTGGATCAACGCCAAAACACTTGAGCATTCTTCGCATAGACCTTACTCCTTCTCAAAAACCAGAAACGATTGCCTAAAGGTCTTTGCTGGAAAAGAATATGATATAATTAGCCTACGGATTAGCAAGAGCATGTTGAACTAATCCAATTTGAAGAAATTGAAAAATTGTTCGATCCTTGTCCATTGCAACGAGAGAGTTGTCCACTTCCTTGCAAACATTGAGCGGCATTTCGGAGTTTTCAGCGGTGGGGTTTGATCTGGACCTCGATGAGATGAAGTCCTTCAAGAGGGCCAACAGCTTGCGCAGGCGTGAGTTTTATTAGGCACCGAAACATTTCGCACCCTAAAACAGAAAGTTATCTGGTGACAAAGATGATCCCAAAACTTACAGTATACTTCAGGCGCTCCATCGAGAACAAGATGCTTTGTCGATCATAGAAGACAACAATTGGGGAAGCCAATTCGTCAGCATATTGGTCGAACAACATCTCAAAGACTTTCCCGGCCATGGCCTTGCGCCCTGACGAGTAGTGACTAAAAGGATGGATGGAAGGCTAATTGATAAAAACGCTACGCACCGTGGGCCGCTTATTCCCTTGCCATCTCAATTGGAACAACAGTTGGACCCGAGAAATCTTCCACTGGGCGCGAAGTTGCAAAGTGATTGAGACGTCGTAACTGAAGCAAAACAAAGTGGAATCAACAAAAGACACGAATTTTACCGCGTAACCCGTACCGCGAAACACTAACCGATAAATCTTCTGCTCCTGATTGATGACGATACCGAAGATGCTGCTTTGCAGTTCAACGGGGCGTCCAGCTTTTTCCTGGCTCAATTGGTGTCGGATGAGGGTTGCTGACTCCACTTCCGTTCTTCCCATTGCCGTTTCCGTTGCCATTGTAGTTGAAGCCGGTTTTGTCAAGCCAAACAAAAAAATATTAGAATTAATGGAGACGTTACCTTTATAAAGGTCAAAAGGCGTTTTCATTTTCTCCAAATTTCAAGTAGTTGATGCTTTTGGAAAGCTAAAATAAAAAATAGTTTACTGGATAAACTGAAAGCAATCAAATATGGAAGTCTGAAAGTACCAAAAGCTAGGCAGGTAGGTCCCCCCGGGGGTAAGGTTGCGTTTTTTCGATGCTAAATTGGCCTAAATTTTCCTACAAGTTGGAAAGGCCCCCCCCCCCCCCCCCCCCCCCCCCCCCCCCCCCCCCCCCCCCCCCCCCCCCCCCCCCCCCCCCCCCCCCCCCCCCCCCCCCCCCCCCCCCCCCCCCCCCCCCCCCCCCCCCCCCCCCCCCCCCCCCCCCCCCCCCCCCCCCCCCCCCCCCCCCCCCCCCCCCCCCCGGGGGGGGGGGGGGGGGGGGGGGGGGGGGGGGG